ACCGCAGAGTTTGCATCACTGCTTCTTGATTGGTCGATTAAAATAGCCGCCATGTTAAGCCACAAACGTCACACATACAGCCTGACAGAGCTGTCAATCAAATGTGGTTGTGTTAATATTAAGTTTAAATAAGTGCATATAATAATTTCTTGTAACCATGGTAAGTAGAAATGTCTTATATATAAACCATATACAAGGTGGCCCCGAACGTTCCAGCCAGACTTTGAGATCTTATAGGAAATTTAATTCTGAACAAAAAATTTCCTATAAACATGGGTCGAAAAATGCTTCCTTAAGAAGTTATCGCTTAAAAACCTCTGATGCAGAGCAAAAGGTGAAAAGAAAATGAAATAAAAAAAAATGAAACTTTATAAATTTCTTGAAAAAACGATAAAAATAAAAAATATTTTTATAATATTTTTAAATGATTGATCTAGTCACTTTACAGATTTCCTCCTGATTCAACTTTAATCGATCAAAAGTCGTATGCGCATCTAACAATAAGTAACAAAAGCACTTTATGTACGTTTGAAACTGGTTATATCAAAATCTATGGAACGTACAACAATCATTTTGATCTCATTTGAAAGATAATTTAATTTTCTACAACTTTTGTTTCGGTACTTTTTGTTAAAAGACGCACATTTTCCATGATATTTGGAAAAATGTGTAAAATAATCACGATTTCAGAGGTTTTTGAGCGATAACTTCTTAAGGAAGCATTTTTCGACCCATGTTTATAGGAAATTTTTTGTTCAGAATTAAATTTCCTATAAGATCTCAAAGTCTGGCTGGAACGTTTGGGGCCACCCTGTATACATATACAAGGTGGCCCACGTAAAGTGTTACAAGTTAATAACTCTAAAAATATTTGTCGAATCAAAAAATTGTTCATGTTTTTGTGAGGCCTTTCTTACTACGTAAACATAAAATTGCCCCCGCTCTCCCTCTAGAGAGGGCAGGGGGTAACTTTGAAATCTTAAATGGGAACCCCTATGGTGGGGGCATGGTGGGGGTAGAGTTCGCGCCTCTCTGATAATCTAGGACTCTATCTGGAACCAACATGCCGGCATCTCCTTCCAAAATGGCTGCGGTAATTTTATCTGTCTAGTCGCCATTAACGTGGACACGACTGGCGGCTTCCCCGCTGCGCTGGGGTCGGAAAACATCCCGGTCAAGATGAAAAAATCTTCACTGCCCGTTCGAGCAGTCCGCTGATCCGAGGTTTTTTCAGATGCTGACCCTGGGTTATTTCCCGCAGATGTGCCGGATGTGCCGCATGGCGGGGTTGGGTCTCTCGGTATTTTGCTGTTCCAACGTCTTGTTACGTCCTGGCGACTCCACGATTCCTTCTTTCTGCGAAGTGGCGGCAATGATCGTCAATTGGTGAGACAAACGAATCGCTCATTAAACAGACCGAAGTAAAAAGATCGATGATGAAACCATGCCGGTCTCCTCGAAATAAATAAAAATCAATAGATATCCCTTAGTGAAATTTGCCGGCGGAAAAATAAAGAGACACCGACCAGATAATATAAAATTTTCTAACGAAATACCCAACAAACACAGCTGCATCAATAACAATATAAAATTTTCTAACAAAATACCCAACAAACACAGCTGCATCAATAATAATAAAAATTTCCAACAAATATTCAATAAACACAGCTGCATTAATAGCAATAAAAATAATCATAAGGAAATAGGACCTTTTCTAATCTGATCACGTGCAAGAAATTTTTGAATGAATATCGAGCTTACCAATGGACGATCATCACGGGTAAAAACGTGAAAAGTAGAAGAAACATTCCGCCTAACGAAGACACTGGCACAATTTTAATTTGTTAAGATTGAAGGATCCCCACTCCTGCGCAATTTCAATTCGTCGAAGTTTTAGAAGATTCTCACTCTTAGAATTAGAATACACCCCCAAAAAGAAGATAAAAAGAGAACTCGCAAACACATCACTCACTTATTCTGCAATATTCAATCTGAGTATTCTTGCTCTGTGTTGTGACTCGCGAGTTAGTTGTGCAAAAACCAGTGTCTTCAATCAGCGGCGTCTTTCGACCATCACCAACCACGAACAGAACAACCGGAACAACGTCTGAAGTCGCCAACCTCACACGAAACACTACCTCGTAGAACATACTAATTAAAAATAAGTCACTACTAACTAATTCTTATTATACGCGGTCGAGATAAAAGTTTCATAATATTACTACATTCGCACTGGTTTCGTAGTGAAAACCAGGTCCGGCAAAATCTATACTTTGCGATCCACCAATCTATATCAAGTCAATCGCAGGAGTCGAAGGCCCGAGTTCGAGCAGATTTTTACGCTGAACAAACCATCATTAATATTAGTCCAGAATTAACAATACAATTAACACCAACATGAACCACTGAATCGACAACCTCTCCTTTTTCCCCCTACTATTCTTCACCCAGCTATTCTCCAGTATATTCTCCAGAACCCCTTTCTCCTGCACCACTATCCTCCCCACGGTCATTCTCTTCTTTATCAATGATCATCTTCCGTAAGTCACCTCCTCCTTCTCCTCACCTTTCGGAGTCTGACAATTTCGAAAAAGCCATACAAGAGTTCTGTGACGAACTGCCTGACTTAGAATCCGATTCGTTCTACCAGGACTAAATTAAACTATCCTTTATTTCCTTACACACACACACACACACACACACACACACACACACACACACACACACACACACACACACACACACACACACACACACACACACACACACACACACACACACACACACACACACACACACACACACACACACACACACACACACACACACACACACACACACACACACACACACACACACACACACACACACACACACACACACACACACACACACACACACACACACACACACACACACACACACACACACACACACACACACACACACACACACACACACACACACACACACACACACACACACACACACACACACACACACACACACACGCATGTTTTTTTTATTAATTAAATCTTTATATTGTATTAACCAGTCAGAACCTAAAAGTTAACGATAGAATCTTTCCCTTGCATCCTGACTGATGTCCTCCGTATTAATGTAACACGCGAACTAAAACACACACACATACATACACATCAAGAAATCAATATTATATTTTTTTATTTTTTATAATCATGTACATCTACCATTTATTTTAAAATATGAATAAATTTATACTTTGTTAATTAAAATCAAAATAACCCTTTATTAACCCTCCACTCATTCCTAGTCAAAGATCGCACTTGGTCCCATCCCGCGTAAAAGATATTAAATTCTCTGACCAAAAAGGGACTGCCGAGCGAACTTCCGAAAAACAGTGTAATAGCGACCCGAACGGTCGTTTACCTGATTTTCGGACCGTCAAGTTCGTTCGACCCAACTTTAACGCCTCGAGACGTTTGACTTCGAGATCATAAAGATAGTGATTGCGCCCTTCCGTCGACTCATCCTTCCTCGAGTCTGGACGTAACAGTCTTTATTTCTCGCGAGCCGATGCCTGTCTATGCTCGTTCTCGTTCTCGTTGACGTATCACGTCGGGGTCACCAGTTGTAGGAACGAGTATACAGGATAACACAAGGGTTGGCTATATAATTAACTTTATTTTCTAATATCACAGTTCTGTATATATCACGTCTGTTTATTCTTTGGTACTCCGCAAAATTCAGAACGGAAGTCAGTTTTTCTCTCCAGTCCTCTTCCTTACTGACAACTAAGATTATATATAAGAAGGTTAAGTCATGAGCCCCAATTATCCATAATGCAATGCAAAGAATCGATGTGTGAGCCAATAAAGGTGCCATTACATGGCAGCATCGAGCATCGAGCGTGTTAAAAGATATATTTCATATATAGAATAATTTCAATGCTGGTTGGCTACACTGAGCGAATTAGAGTAAGGCAGCGCCGCTGTGTGAGAGAACCTCAGCGAGAGGATCCGTGAGTCGCCCCTTTTTCTACGAGCGACCATCGAGGTGTGCACACCTGTGAAAAAGAGCGAGCGAACAGCGACTGAGTGACTGAGCAGTGCCAGAGTTTGTAAACTTTATATAATCATCGTGACTAAAAATTAAATGCGGAATAGATAGCGCAACATGCGCCGCATAGCGGTAAACGAATGAACTAGCGATTATCGAATACTTTTTTTGTAATATTTTCGGGATGTTGCTGTAACATTGCTAAAGTTATATTGTAAAATAATGTCATTGCAATATTTCTGCAACATTACATTGCAATATGAAATATTGCAATGTTGCAGCAATGTTGTTGCAAGCTTCAGTGCTGTATGGGGTGTCAAAAGGCATTAAATAACTAGAATAAAACTAATACATATGTGTTAAAGTGAGTTACACCTGTTCTGTCATTAAAACTTTTAACAGGTTATGGGCCCAGTTGCTCAATACTTGCTCTAGAAAGGAGAATAAGTAAGGATTTTTGCGCGAGAACAGAGAAGTTATCTCACTGAAACAACACGTGTACGCGTGGATAAATTATACGGAAAAAAGGGCAATTGTAAGAAAGTCGCGAAAGTAAAAGATAGCTTGCAAAAAAAAAAAAAATTTAAAAGCAGTGTAATAATTAAAACGAAGTAAGTGATAAATTCTTAAAGCAATTGAATTAAGAATTGTGCGCTGTTTGCCTAGAGAAGCAGGCGCGCGGATGAAAGACGAAAACACGTAAAAACAAGTAAACAGAAACAGACCGCGACAGCTTAGCGAAGACAAAGCCGAATTATAATATCTAACAATTAATAGGTAGCAATAATACGGAAAGTACGTAATAAGCGAGTAAGCGAACATTTGCGGTCACATATATATATATATTAATATAAATTTAGCTAACCGTAGTCCGTTTAAAAAAACAAAACTCGGAAATTAATTTTTTCAGTTTCCCTTAGGTTAAATAATACAAGTATAATAGGAAATAGAAAAGAGGTACAATGGCTAAAGCTCTAACAGAAGACTCGGCAAACATAGAAAAACTGATCGACGCGGAAAACTACCAAATATGGAAATTTCAAATCGGAATAATACTTCGAGCTCATGAGTTATTCGATATAATAGACACGGAAACTGTGGAAAATGAAAAAACTAATGCGTGGAAGAAAAAGAATGCACAGGCACAAAAAATTATTGCTACGACAGTAGACAAGAAACCACTACTACACATAATGAACTGTAAAACTGCACATGAGATGTGGATAAAAATTGCTACAATTTACCAGAGGGATAATGAACAACAGAAATGTAGTCTCTTACAGACATTTTATAGTATGACCCACGAAAGAAATCTGGATATAATGTCATACATAAGTAAACTCAAAAACATAAATAGCAATGAGACTGAACGCAATGGACACGAAAAGCCACGTTACCGCAGGAGTATAAACACTTTGCTACTGCTTAGGACTCGACTCCAAAAGGAGAGAGAACTCTGGAAAATTTGACTGCACGATTAATTGCAGAAGAGATGAGAGACAAAGATAGGCAGTCGGAAGAAAAAGCGGTCGCCTTCAAAGCAATAAACAAAAAATGCTACAAGTGCAATAAACCAGGACACATGGCAAAAGACTGTAGAACGAAGAATAGGCCCAATGAGAAAGAAGTGCGCTGCTTTAAATGCAATAAGAAAGGTCATATGGCAAGATCATGTGATGAAAAGCCTAAAACAGAGAGATGCAGCATCTGCAAAAAGAGCAACCATGAAAAAAAGGACTGCTACTTCAGAAAAAAGAAAGAGGCCAAAGATGAAAGAACAGAAAAAGTGGCGTTTATGGCAGCCGGTCTACACGAAGATGACATCAGGATATAGTGGACTCAGGGTCCACCCCGAATATGACCAACAGAGAAGAATATATAAAACATCTCAACAAAACTGATTCGAAAATAAGAGTAGCGAAAGCAAATGAAACAATGGTGGCGAAAGGATCTGGATCCATTGAATTTGAAAATTGCAGGTTGAAAAATGTAATGTATGTGCCAGAGCTGAGCACGAATCTCTTGTCTGTACACGCGATAACAGAAAGTGGCGGTAAAGTATTTGTGCGCGGTCGAGCCGCGAGACGACCAGACGCGCGAAAGAAACACCGGAATCGCCCATGAGCGCGGAGTACGCGCTACGCGATTTCGTTAAAATCGCTGGAGGACAGACGTACACCAGAGTAACAGACAAAAGAATTGAGATATTGTCTCGTGCTTACAAAAAGGTCAATCTTTATTATGAGATGGGTGCACAATTCACAATAAGTTAAGCCTGTGGAAACCCTCGACAGGCGGTGGCTCCCGTGTTTTGCCGATTTCACTGTCCGACGGACGTGAGACGGCTTTCCGACGGAACTCGGAAATTCTTCGGCGAACGGCGCAGAGACCCCAAGGGTTAAATCAGGCCGATGATCGGCACGAGATATTGATTTCTTGGCGAGCGATCGCGAGCACAAGACTTTACGGAACGAACTGAAAGTGAGCAAAGGCCGTTCCACACGGGCGCAAGAGTGCGAGTTTGTATGCTTCGCATGCGAGAACGGGCGCAAGACTGCCGAGCCGAAAACCAAATTTAATGACGAGTAATTTCGCCGAGAACCTACGCTGTTTGTCGCGTATCGGATTGGTCTCGATAATATTGTTCGATCGGCTCGGCGTATCGCGATCTAGGCGAAAAAACGGCTTGAACATGCAAAAAAGAGGACGAACGGTCGCGATAGCGGGTGCGAGCGAGTTTTTGTGCGACCGAATTCCTTTGCGTGTTTCGAAAGAATATTTAATTTTCATGCTCGAAATTTATTGAGTGTGTCGAATCCGAACAGTATTATTTAATAGGAATAAAGTAACAATAAGTCATAAAAGTAAAACTATTATAGAAGGACGAAAAATGCAAAATGGCTTGTTTCAGGTTAACTTAAAACCGATAAATGCTAATAAATCGTATCTATCGGAAAGTTCGAGTTGTGCTGCAGTCAATTGGCACCGAAAACTCGGACACATAAGTAATGAAGGACTGAAAACTCTTCAAATGATGAACGAAGAAATTAACCTGAAGACAACAGAAGATCTAGAGAAAGTGTGTGAAATCTGTAATAAAGCAAAACAGACGAGGAAAAAGTTCAAGAATTTAAGAACTAAGGCAGAAAGACCATTACAAATAATACATACGGATCTGTGTGGTCCAATCGATCCACCAACGTGGGACGGGAAAAGATATGTGATCACGTTCTTGGATGATTTCACACACCACACCATGGCATTCTTGATAAAAACTAAAGACGAAGTGCCTGAAAAAATAAAAGTCTATACCGAAAGAGTGGAAACTCGCTGGAATCTGCGCGTCTCCAAAATGAGATGTGATAACGGGAAGGAATACATCAACAGAAAAGTAATTGCCTGGTGTGAAAATAAAGGAATAGAACTGGACACGACGGTACCTTACACGCCACAGCTCAACGGTAAAACGGAAAGGCTGAATCAAACGTTAATGGACAAAACAAGAGCTCTGCTCTTTGATTCAGGCCTAGAAAAGGAAATGTGGGGAGAAGCACTGTATACTTCTGTTTATTTAACAAACCGATCTCCTACTGACACCGTAAAAACCACACCATTCGAAATGTGGGAGGGCAAAAAGCCCAGCTTAAAACATCTACAACTATTTGGAAGTGAAGCCTTTGCCAAAGTACTGAAACCAATAAAGAAACTACAAGAAAGAAGCGAGAGCTACGTCTTCGTTGGCTATGCGCCTACAGGATATAGACTGTGGGACAAGGAGAAAAGAAAAATAAAGATATCAGGAGACGTTAACTTCAGAGAATGGACAGTAAAAAAGGCAAAGACAGAAAATAAAGAAGTAACGATAAATAAATTAATAAATGAACAGGAAGACAAAGAGCAAAATGAAATAGCTGAAGAGGAAGATAATGAGCAAGAAAACAGTGGAGAAGAAGACTATACAGATGCGGAAGAAGAGAACTTTCAACTGGAAAATGAACAGGAACAATAGGAGGAAGATGAAAAACATACAGCGAGAAAGTCGAACCGAGCACGAAAAAGACCAGACTGGTACGGAGACTATGTATTGCTGACATTTGAGGAGGCTGTTACAAGCCCTGAAAAACAAAAATGGATACAGGCAATAAAAGAAGAAAAGGAGTCTCTAAAAGAGAATAATACCTGGGATGTACTCGATATTAAAGAATTGAAAAATAAAAAACCACTCCATAGCAAGTGGATCTTTAAAATCAAACAAGATGGGAGATATAAAGCCAGGCTCGTGATAAAAGGATGCGAGCAGAAATACGGAGTGAATTATATGGAAACCTATAGCCCAGTGATAGGTTCGACGGCTCTGAGAAGCCTGTTTGCGATGGCAGTCATGAAGAATTATAAGATAGTGACGTTCGACATAAAGGCTGCTTTCCTGTATGGAGAACTAACAGACGAAGTGTACCTGTATCCCCCGGAAGGATATGATTGCAAAGGAAAAATATTTAAACTAAAAAAGGCATTATATGGTCTTAAACAAGCACCCCTCCGTTGGAACATTAAGTTCACAAACTTCCTGAAGGAAAAAGGATTCCAGCCACTGAAGAGCGAACAATGTTTATTTACAGAAAGGGACAGTGAAATGATAATGGGAATCTACGTCGACGACGGAATTATAATAGCTGACGATTCCACACAAATAGAACAAATATTGGAAAACCTCAAAAAGGAATTCAAGATTTCAGTAATGCGAGAACCCGACAACTTCGTAGGATTTGAAATCGCAAAGACACAAAACATAGTAAAATTGTCGCAGAAAGAGTATATTAAAAGACTACTCACCCAATGTGGAATGAACAATGCAAAGCCAGTAAAAATACCGATGCAGCTAGGAGATGTAACAAAAACAGAACCAAAAACCAAAGAATACCCTTACAGAGAGATAATAGGAAGTTTGCTGTACGTGTCGACAAAAACAAGACCGAATATTGCATACAGCGTTGGTTTCTGCAGTAGATATGTAGAAGCGCCGACTCAAGAACGAATCACGGACCTGAAACATATTTTGAAATATCTGAACGAAAATGTCAAACAAGGAATCGTGTACGAGAAGACGGGAAACGTGAAACTGCTGAAGGCATTCTGCGATGCAGACTACGCAGGAGATAAAGAAACGAGGAGGAGTACAACAGGCTATGTGATAATGTACGCAGGCGGAGCGATCAGTTGGTGTTCAAGGAAACAGTCCGTAATCGCTTTGTCAAGCACTGAAGCGGAATACATTGCTGCAAGGAGTTGTTGTACCTGAAATCATTGTTCGAAGAACTCTTAGGAATAACTATGTCAATAGAACTTAATATAGATAATCAGAGTGCTATTGCGTTGATCAAAAACGGTGTAATGAACAAGCGCTCAAAACATATAGATGTTAAGTTTAGGTTCCTACACGAATTAGCCAGAGACGGCATTGTAAAAATTAAATACTGTCCGACAAACGATCAATTGGCAGATATCCTTACGAAACCGCTAAATACAAACAAATTCAACAAATTCAAAGAACAACTGTTAGCGGACTAGCACAGAAATTAAGAGAAAGTGTTAAAAGATATATTTCATATATAGAATAATTTCAGTGCTGGTTGGCTACACTGAGCGAATTAGAGTAAGGCAGCGCCGCTGTGTGAGAGAACCTCAGCGAGAGGATCCGTGAGTCGCCCCTTTTCCTCCGAGCGACCGTCGAGGTGTGCACACCTGTGAAAAAGAGCGAGCGAACAGCGACTGAGTGACTGAGCAGTGCGAGAGCGACTAAAAGTCAGCGTAGCGATCCAAAGTTGTACTTGAGTATTAATCATAAGTTTTTTTCGTTTATTGTCACTATATTTATATTCTAATTGTATCACACAATTAGAGTCTATACAAACCTAAGGCGCGTGCGACGGCCTCCCGTTTGTACGCGTGTCAAAAGACATTAAATAACTAGAATAAAACTAATACATGTGTGTTAAAGTGAGTTACACCTGTTCTGTCATTAAAACTTTTAAAGCCCGTTCTACATTGATCGCATGTCGCCAGTCGCAAGCAAAAGCCTGCAAAATGCGGTTAATAATATTGTAATTATTTTTATCAGTTTAATTTCTGATGCGACTTCCATACCGGGAAATTTAGATATTGAATTGATTTTTAGAAAATCGAACAGATAAATGTCCGATTTTCACTTATTCGGACAATTTCTGTCCGAATCAATGAAAATCGTTCGTTATTATCTGCTTAAAATATAAAACAAAAACTTCCATATAAATAAAATCTTTAATTTTAAACAAGCAAAGGATGAAAAATTACGGATGTTGTGCGATTCAGGATCAACCATCTCGTTAATAAAATTAAAATAATTAAAGGGCGATACCCTCATATATGAGGATAAAATCGCGGGCATAAGCGATCCCGGATCAAGATTGATCCGATGGAGATTAAAGCTCGAAGAGTATGATTATGAAATCATTCATAAAGCCGGACGAGCGAACGCCGATGCACTGAGCCGCAATGTAAAAAGAGACATCCATGAAACAGAAGAGGAGCGAGAAGTCCTTGCAATAGAAGAAGAAACGAACTCCGACGAAGAGAAAAAATATACGGAGGAAGAGAAGAAACAGATATTATACGAATATCACGATGCACCCACAGGAAGACATCAAGGAATCGAACGAACAATAAAAAGAATCCGCCTAAATTATAATTGGCACGAATTAACAAAAGACGTCGAAAAATACATATCAAAATGTGAATTTTGCCAAAAAAATAAATTATCGCTTCACAAACAACGAATGTCATTATCACGTCATCGAA